CATCAAATAAATACTTTCCATCACAGCAATGAAGGAGAATCAGTAAGGATCACCCTCTTGGCTGTCAGGAACCTGGAAGGCGCTGGCCACCACCCACAAGGATGCCCTTGACCCACTGTGAGTAGCTGGCTCCCTGCATCCAAGCACGTAGCAAATAACACGCCTCCAAACTGATTCCACCCAAGTAGCCCGTTCAACCCAAAGTGTGTGTTTTGACCAAGTCAGTTGAACCAGGAGCACCACGGAGAGGAAACGGAGGGTCTGACACTTTTAAATCAGTAGATGTTCATCAACTCTTGACATAAATGAGATCGCTGTGAAGTTCCCTGGAACAGACGCTCTCGGCCCTGCAGCCACTGGGCTTACAGACTGACTCTGTGCCTTGCAGCCTGGGGCCCTGGAAGTGGAGATGCACAGTGGCTCTCTGCTCTGCTGGCTACCTGCCCCCTGCCGCTCCCAGGAGCCCCTGCTGCGGAGCCTCTTGTCCCCACTGGAGCTCCCAAGGATCCTAATTGCTGTCCTGAGTTTCTCTGTCTAGGGAGAAGACGGCCACCATGGGGAGGAAGTGTGGGCTGCGTCCTTCCTTCCTGTCCTTGTCTTGACCTGCCCCTGTCTGTGAAGGACACCATCTACGGGCTCACCTGCTCTTACTCTCCTGAGTGGGACTAATGTTGCCCACCAGTTCAGCTCTTGAAACTCTGCAGGTCGTCCTTGGCCCATCCTGGACTTGTCCCTCCTTTGCACATGAGGCCCTGGGAAATCCCTGCCCCAGGGCCCAGCGTCCCTTCCCCGCCTGAGGAACACGTGGCTCTGAGCCCTTTGTGGGTCTTGTGTGTTAGATACGTGTCCCCCTCCTAGTCATCAGAGTCCTCTGTGACAGCCTGTGACCTGGCCCCCTCCATCCTCCTTTCCTGGAGCTTCTTGGCTGGACACTTTCCCAAGAAATGCCTCCAAAAGGCCACTGGGGAGCAGCCCGGGGGGATGGGTCACACACCAGGCGTCCTCACCTGGCAGACAATGGACACACACAGCCCAGAGTGGCCTGAGGTTTCTGTGGCTGTTCTAGGAAGAAGCACAAAGCAAGGAGGAGCCATGGTCTTGCTGTCCAGGCTGTGGGGAGCTGAGTCACGGGCTGGAGGCAGCAAGGCAGAGAGCTCAACAGGGCCACGGGAGAGAGGAGGGTGCAGGGAGGGCCTGGAGCAGGAGGGGCTGGGGGCCTGGGCAGGGCCATGGGGGTGGGAAGCGGGAGGGAGATGGAGGGGCCTTAGAGGCCTCTGAGGGAGGCAGGGAGACCGGAAGGACTTGATGTGTGACTCTGTACCTTGTGGCCCTCGTTTTCAAAGCATCTCTGTGACTCCTGGGCTGAGAATGGAGTTGGGGGTAGGCGAGGTCCTAAGCTGCCTAGGCTCAAGAAGCTGCATGGGATCTAAACAGGCACACCTAGGAGGGATTGGTGCTGGTGCCCCTGGAGTGAGGAGCTGGCCCACAGCAGATTCCTACCTGGGAGTGAACGTCTGCATGGCTGCAGTGACTCTCAGAGATGTTCCCCACACCGTGCAGAGGCAGAACCGTCACAGCCTCCATGTCTATTTACAATGCAAGGAGTCAGAGCTGCTGTCCATCAGGCAGGGTTCCCCCTGGGCAGTGCAACTTGGAGCTGCACTCCCCAGCCAGGCTCTTCCCATCTGCCCTCCCCCTGGGGACAGCAGCCTGCACCTTCAGGTGGGTGGGGCCGGAGGTTTGTGGCTACCCTGCGTCCTGTGGTCTTTACTCCTTTAAATGAACTCTGGCTTTATCTTCTGGGCTTGTGGTGCCCGGTCTGTATGTTCTCTGGGATTCTTTGTGTAAATTCTAGATGAGGGGTGGCCTGGGACCCGTGGGGTTTCTTTCTTTCTAGGTCTTAGATGACAGAGGTTTCACGTGGGACGTTCATGGCTGGTGGTGCTGAGGCCTGTCACACCCGCCTCTGAGTGCCATAGGAACGTGCTCTCTGCTGCCCAGGGCATGGGGCCCGGTGAAGTGGATTCAGTCCTCAGCCAGTCCAGGACACAGGGCAAGGCCGGTCCCTCTCTGACCTGTTTTGTCCCATTTTCCAGACCTCTCCACTTCCTCAGGGGCTGAAATCCCCGCTTGTCTTGATTTCGACATCCAGGAGAACAATCTAAGCACTGTGTTCCGACACACATCCACAGGAGTGGACAGACACAGCTCATGCTCCTTCAACAAGCACAGTGACGAGGGACGGTGCTTAATCCCAGGACTGAGAGTCTGCAGGCATCTTCAGGAGAGCGGGGTCCCCAAGCTTCCCAGGGGGAATCGGCCCCTCAGAGTCCCCCAGTTGGGGCTCTGGATAACCCCCTGCATTAAGAACAGGTGGCCCTTTCCCTGCGAGGCCATCTTACCTCCCTCCTACTTCTCAGCTCTGCACAGTCTCGACTGTGGCTCTGACAACCTGCCCATGAATCAGCCAGGCTGCCGTCCAGGGGAAACGCATGGACACTGAGCCCTGAATTCCACCTGGTTGTCAATGCTGTCCTCCTTGCACAAGAGCCACATGGGTGCCCTGGGGTTCCACGGAAGCCAAGTTTGCCAACCATGTTCCAGGGGGAAGTGATGGAGGCAGAGGGGACTGGCTTGGGGATGAGACTGAGGATGAGACTGAGGACGTGTCAACACTCAGCTTCCTCACTCCGAAAGTAAGGGTGATGACAGTAAGGACGTCACAGGGTGGCTGTGGAGTCAAGTGGCCTGGGCCTTCCTGTTGGCAGGTGTTGGGTGCAACCGCTGCCCTTAGGACCATGGCTGCCCCTTGGCCTCCCCGAGTCAAGTGCCCAACTAGCCGTTCTGAGACCACCCTGGAGGTCCAGCAACGGGCGGACGGCACAGGGGAGAGGAGCGAGGAGGAGCCAGGTGGGGGGGGAGAAGAAATGTGCTATCCTGTCCACTGAAACTTTGACTCCAGCCACACATAACGCAGCTCCTGCATTAGGACATCAAGTCCTGATGTCTGAATAAAACGCTGCTGCTGAGCATCACAGTGCCAGGGGCCACGGGGGTTCCTGCAGCCTGGTTACCCTTCCTCCCTTAGCCCCCCAGGATGCCTGGGTCTCCCCTGCACAGAAGGCTGATGAGCACCCTGCAGGCCAGCAGGTGCCCTGCCCATTCTACAGCCACAGATCCATCCTCTAGAGCAGTGGGCGGCCTGAGCCACACACCCTGACCTCACGGGGCAGGTGGAAGGTCCAGAAAGGAGAGTCAGACAATGAATAGATAAATGCGAAGATGCACAGGTGCACCCGGGAAGAAACAGGCCAACAGCAGGCACCTGAGCAGGTAGGCGGAGGCACAGCACGCAGCATCCCTGAGGTGTGCACGTGGCACTCAGGAGGGGCCAGCTGAGAGGGGGACTGAGGGAGCAGGCTGCCCACACACCTCGGGGAGAGGCCAGGCAGAGGCTGGAGGGGTGCCCACCCTGTGGAGCAATTCGAAGATGGCAGCACAGCAGGAAAGAGAGACAGGAGGGGCGAGGTGGGAGTGAGGCCCAGCAGCAGGCAGCATGCAGCCTCCATGGGCTTAGCCTGGGCTGTGGGAACTGGGCTTCTCCGCGGAGGTGGGAGGGAAGCAGGGAGGAGATCTGAGCTGAGGAGCATCGTGACGGATTTGCACTTTGCACCCTGGCTGCTGCGTTCACAGTGGCTGTGGAGAGGAGGCAGGTGGGCAAGGAAGGCCTGGGAGGCTAGCAAGGAGGCCATCACCTTGATCTAGGGGAGATGTGGTGCCCTGGACTGGGGAAGGAGGGTTGGATCCTAGATGCATTTTAAAGCATGAGCAACAGGACTTGCTGAGGGATTGGACATGAGAGAAAGAGAAATCGAGGATGAACCAGGATATTGTCCAGAGCATCTGGAAGGAGCTACCACCTCTCGACGAGAAGAAGATTCCGGAACATGTGGGTGGGAGTGGTGGATCATGGAAGGCCTCCCAGGGTCTTGCTTTTTCCTACACCCTTGACTTCTTGCCGAGCTTGTAACGACAGGATTGTGCCTCTGGTTTTGTGGTCCTAACATCTAGCCAGGGCCCAGCACGTGGTGTGGACTCAGCTTGCGTTTGCCAACTGCTTTCTAGGGGGGACAGGAGCTCCCTCCCTGGCCGCCTCCTGCCATGCAGAGAGGTGAGGTTCCTCCCGTTCAGAGGAGCGGAGCTGCCTACTGTGGGGCTGCTGGTGGGGGCCTGGCTCCCTGTGCTTTGGGGTGCTCACTCCAAGGAGGTGCTACTGCTTTGGTCAGCCAGCTGGGCTCTGGACTGGGCAGTGGTAGCTCCACAAATCCATTTTCCTCTGCTGCCTGGAAGCCTGCTACAAGGTTCCCGGCAGAGCCAGACTGAGTCTCCTGCCTCATCCATCTCCCTGTGCCTTTATCTTGAATCACTTGTGCATTTAATTTAAAAAGAGAAAGGAGGCTGCGAGGAAGGAAGGGATCAATGGAATTTAAAGGAGGGGTGAGGGCCGTCCCTCCCCATCTCTCACTCTCTCGGGTAGATACTTGTGGGTTGGGCAGGGAACCAGGAACAGAGGGAGTTCCTCGTCTCCCTTGGCCAGTGTTGCAAACCAGAGCTGGGCGAAATTGCGGACTTACATCTCCATTGACTTCACACAAATGCTCGGCTGTAAGATCATTCTGGGCTGCGGGCCATCAGTCCAGCCCCTGGGCTCCTCTTTCCTGCCCCTTGCAGCCCTGATGAAGCCACCAAGAGGGCAGTGGTCCCGGCATCCCACCACCACACCCCCAGGGGCTGGGAAGAGGCCCAAAGCACTTGGAAAACAGAAAGGGTTAGGAGGGAGCCTGGCCCAGAGGTGACCTCCAGGGCAGCCTTGATCCTGCTCTGTGTGGGGCCCGGGAGGATCCCGGATGTGACGGGCAGGATTCCCAGAGGTGATGGGAGGGCCAGCGCTGTCAGGCCCCAGAGGGTGGGCCAAGCTGCTGGGACAGGGGGCAACTCGCCTTGAGCACGTCTTCATCGGAGGACCTGCACTCCACGGACTCCAGCAGCCCCGTCAYGGTGCCGTCCTCCTCCACGGAGACCACCTTCACGGGGACGGCCACCGTCTTCCCAGTGAGGATGGCTGTGTTGAGGATCTCCGCCTCCTGGAAGAGGAAACACAGAGCCGTCACCCTGGCTCCCACGTGGCCCAGCCCTCACCTGTGCTCGCGGCCGCTGACCAGCCCTCCACCCAAGTTCAGCACTCCTGTTGTGGCACCAGCCCAGGGCCGAGGTGGCCAAAGGACCATTTCTATCCTCCCCTGGATTTCTGCAGGGAGGACATGGCAGGGAAGGAGTGTGGAGCCAGTCAAGTTAACAGGGCAAACACTTCTCAAATCTCACCATGCTCCAGGTTTCCATGCTTTACAAAGGCCCACCCTGCAATTATCCCAGCATCCTGTTCTATAACTAGCACAGAGGAGTTTTGTAACTTGCCCCAAACCACACAGCTAGATAATAATGAAGGTGGAATTTGAACCCAGGAATTTGGGCTCCTGAGTGGACGCATTAGAGAGCCCATTACATATGTCTGAACTTGAACACAGAGGTTCCGACTTGAGCGCTCCACTATCAGCCAGAGGCAAGGCGAGGGGGTCCGGAGCCTAGAGACTGATGCCACCTCACACACATAGGAATCTGACACTCTGGCTTCCTTCACTTTCTGCAGTTCTCCACACTTGGGGTCCTGGCCTCTGTCATGGCTGCAGGGACACCCCCACAGGGACACACACCCTCACATGGGCGTGCGTTTTGTCCCTGAGCTCTCCCTTCAGGGTGAGCCATGCTCAGGGCTGCCCGCTGCCCAGCTGCTTGCTTTCAGAGCTGGAACACCACGACCTCTCCCCCTGGTGCAGCTGTCCAACTCCAAGGCATTGGGTCCCCTTGTCTCTCCAGGAGGCTGGGCTCCCGGGTGGCTGTCTCTGCTCCCACAGGGGGCCTGAGTGCCCAGGGCTCTCTTAGGGCTCCAAGGTGAGCACTTGGCCTTCCCCTGCTCGTGGCCTGTGGATGCCCCAGGCCCTGGGGCGTCCATCTCCACCTCCCTCCCCAAGACCAGGGAGTACACTCCCACCTTCTCTCACACACAGATCCAGGACCCAATGTCCCCCAAATCTCTGTGCTGCCACCACCTCCGAGCCCTTCCCCCGACATCAGTCCCAGCTCAACGGTATCCCCAAGTGGCCTCCACCAACACACACACACAGCTGCTCTCCTGTGACTCTGCATCTGCCTGGCCCTTGTACAGTGGCCGCAGAATGTCAGCATGTAGTGTGGGCTGGCCAGGGAGCCCCAAGGGGTTAGGGCTGACCTTCTTCAAAGCTATCTGGTTAGTCTGACCCTGCTCTAGGCAGAGCTGCAGAGGCTGGGCCTGCAGAGTCCCGGGCATCCCGTCTCCCGTGAACCCGAGAGCCTGTGGGGAGCAGCCTGCAGGTTGAATGGCTCATCACACTGGGCTGACATCACAGCGCCCTTCTGTCGACTTTCTGTTTCTTTTGATTTTAACTGTAAGAGACTGGGCTCCAACTGGAGCACTCCTGAGTTTCAGAGACGGCCTCAGCTGAATATGCGTAGGCCCCCTGGCCCCTGGCCCCTGGCCCCCTGGCCCCTGGCCCCAGGCCCCCTGGCCCCGTCCAACGCCACACCTTCTGCTTCCCCTCCTGAGTTCCCAGTGTGATTTTATTTTATTTTGGGTAAAACCTGTAAAAAATGATGGGCAAACTCCAAATATAATGTTCCTTTCTGCTGCCTCTGGGAGGGGAAAGCCCCCTGTACTTTTTCCACTCCAAGGGGACAGAGTGGAAGAAGCTGGAGCTCTGGCCAGCTGACTTTGTGTTCCTGCCAACACCGGGCACACCCTGATCCCAGGAGATAGGAGTGAAGATCCTACAGCACACACTCCATCCTTCCTGCCCGCAAGCCGCCATGCTCTGGGTCACTGCAGGGTTGTCTGTGTGCTCCGTGGCATTCCTGGGTCTCTGGCAACACCACAACATGACTCTGGGCTCCTGAGAGGCTTAGAACAGCATAGGAGGGATGGGGTGCATCCCTGAGGTGGGTCTGGGCCCTACAGAGAAGCCATGTGCACTTTTCTCGAGTCTCACACAGCATTGTCTAGCACAGAGAAAGAGCACCTCTCCCAATTTTGCTGGGGTAACGATGGCCCATGTCTAGTGTGGTCCCCTGGAAACAGATCCTAGGAAGAGGCCCCAGAGCAATTCATCTGAGGGGTTCGGGGAACTTCAGGAACGGGTGGTGGGGATGTAGGAAGCAGAGGCAGCCAATTTACCACTGGCCAGGTGCTCAGTCCTGCAGTCCTGCAGAGAGTGACGTACACCATGAAATATGTTACTTTCTCTGTGTATATAAATGCACGCACCTTTCAATGCACTGAGGTCTAATAGAATTCCCCGGCAGGTAAATGTTATAAAATACTCTCCTAGGAGCACTTCCACTGCGGCTGTTTACTGAGGAGCCGAGGTATCGATTCACCAACTCCAGGAGCGGCTCAGGGATGGCCACCTGCGCCCAGCCTGCTGTGTGAGGGTGAAGCCCACGGCTCCTGTTTCAGATAACGCCGCAGATGGAGGATGACTCTCAGGATGGGGAGGAGCTCTCTGCCCTGATGGGGGGTGGGGAGCGCCCAGGGCACCGCAAACTCTGCTTCCACACAGGGTGGAGCAGCTCATCACACAGCTCTCTGGCAGAGAGGAACCGAGTCAGAGCGTTGGCCCATTTTGTGTTAATTTCCTCGTGTGTCTGGTGTCCTGGCTTTCCACGTCAAGTACCAGCACTGTCATTTATGCATGTTCACCCTTAAAACTAATTTTAAACAGAGCAGAGGACTGGGTTTGTGGCTCGGTGGTATAGCACTCGCCTAGCATGCATGAGGCACTGGGTTTGATCCTCAGCACCATATAGAAATAAAATAAAGATATTGTGTCCACCTAAAATTAAAAAAGAAATATTAAAAAAATATCTTCCTTAAAAAAAAAAAGAGAAGAGAAAAAGCATGGAGAGAGAGAAGCACATTGGAGGGACGTCTTCAGTCCTGGAGAGCTTGCTGTTCATGCTCTGCAGTTTGGGTGTCCAGTGCTCCAAGGCCCAGGTGCTGAAGGCTTGGCCCTCAGGGTGGTGCTATTGGGAGGTAGTGGGCTTTAAGAGGCGGGGCCTGGAGGGAGTCTTTAGGCCATTGGGGGTGTGTCCTGGAAGGATGTGTCCTGGAACCCCGGCTCCTTCCTCTTCCTCTTTTTGCTTCCTGGTTGTGAGATGAGCAGAGGCTTTGCTCCTTCATGTGATTCACCAAGATGTGTTGCCTCCCCACAGGCCCAGAGAAGCAGGGTCAACTCCTCGTAGACTGGAACCTCCAAACCTGGGAAGCAAAGTGGACCTTTCCTCTTCACGTGTTGATGCCCTGGGGTGTTTTGTTATAGTGATGGAAAGTGACTGACATAGTGCAGAGATGGCTAGCTGCTGGGTAGTGGCTATTCTGCTCACTTCCTGCCTGACACCTTGGCAGGAAGATGCCCAGACATGACTTTCAGCAGCCTCTGCCTGTGACATGGTTCTGGCTTATGAGACATAAAGGAAGTCCCTTGGTGAGCTGCCAGAAACAGAAAGAAACCCAGCTGGCTCTGGAGGTTGTCTTCCCTGCTGCTATGCACTGGCACAGGGCAGGCTGGTGACAGGTTGGTGATAGCCACAGGTGACAGGGTGGGAGAGCCCAGGTCCAGTGCAGGGTAGAGGTGAGACTAGGCGCCTGTCTTGGGACTTTCTGGCTGTGAGTCCCTGCTCTGACACAGCCACTGGGTGACGCTGGGCGAGGGACCCTCTTGGTGCCTAAGCCCTGCAGCTCTAACATGAGGACAATGACAGTCTGCCTCATAGGCTTGCCCCAGGAGTTAGCATGAGAATGGTACCTGGCACTGTCCCAAAGTTTGACACATAAAGCAACGTGAATGATGACCATATGGGTGGACCACAAAGCTCATGTGCACTTGGACTTTGGAAGGTGACCTTGAATGGACAGAGGGTCCTTGTGGATCAAATTGGTCAAGAGGAGCTCCTACTGCATCGGCGTGGGTCTGACCCAACAACTTAGATAGGAAACACAAGAGGCCACTCGTGGATGGAGGGCGGCTGAGGTTTGGGGCTGTAGTTGAGGAAGGTCAAGGACCGTCCACAACCAGTGGAAGCCAGAGGAGGCAGGAAGGAGCTCCCGAGGCGTCAGAGGGGGCACAGCCTTGAAGATACCTTGATTTCCAGCCTCTGTCCTCTAGACCTGCCATGGGGACATTTCTGCTAAGCCACCAAGCTGGGGAGCTTCGTTATGATGACCCTTGGGAAACTGAGGCAGAGGGCCCCGGGTGCAGGAACCTGGGCACGGGATGCCTTGTCACATGACTTGACCTATTTCCCATGGGCTCTGCAGACTCCGGGTCTTCCCACTGTCACCGCTGCTTTGTGCTTCAGTGACCCACAGACGCTCAACAGTCTCCCACCTCTAGCTACAGCGACCAAAAAAGGAAGCTGTCCTTGGTCCCCACCAGGCCTGGCTCATGTGAACAAATCGGGTCACCTCACTCTTCCTACTAAGAAAGCGGTCAGAGGATTTTCTCCCTTCCTTTCCTCTCCTTTCTTCTGGCCTCCAGTGTCACCACAGCTATTCTGGAGGTGGCCTGCCATTTTGAGCCTGGGCTCTGAATTGACCTGTACATGTTAGTGTAGAAAATAAGGTCTCAAAAATGAACCTTCGAGCATCCCGTTAAGGGTGGGCCAGCATTCCCGGGAGCCAGTGAGAGGGTGCATGGCCGCTGCCCTTCTTCCTGGCCACGTGGGGAGCCTGGCCCAGCCCGCAGCCGCCTCCTGAGCCTGAGCTGCACGTTCTCATCACCCAAGTCTGCAGAGACAAAACTGAGAATGGGTGCTTTGAGGAGACGGACCTCAAGTGACCTGGCATAGGCAACTGTGCTCGGAGGAGGTACGCCAAGGGGTGTTTTCCAGAGGGGGTGCTGGAGAGCTCCTGGAGAGTGGGGTCAGCCCTGAACAAGCGGAACTTTAGTTCTGAATTGAGAAGAATTTCCCCGCAACTTATTTTGGCATGTTTTAA